CCTTCTCTTCTTTGCTAAGAGTGTAGCTGACAGGACTTAAGTACTGGCGTCCATCATCTGTCTTCTCTAGATGCAGGTTGTCTCGTTCTTTCAAACACCATAGGTCATGTCATGCTTCAATTGTGTCCTTAGGCTTCCCATACACGCCCATGAAGCCTAGTAGGTTCACACAAAGATTCTTCGTCAGGTGCATCACGTCGATCGCGCTGCGGACCTCTAGGACTTGCCAATAGGGTAGCTCCCAAAATATGGACTTCTTCTTCCACATGGGTGCATGATCGTTGGTGTCCTTCGAAATAGGTTGGCTGCCAGGTCCCTTTCCAAATATTACTTTCACATCATTGACCATATCGAGGACGTCCTCACCAGTTCGGTTGCGAGGCTTGGTCTGGTGGTCTGCCTTACCTTTAAAATGCTTGCCTTTCTTTCTTACAGGGTGTTTTGTAGGAAGAAATCGTCGATGCCCAAGGTACACGACCTTGTGACACTTTTTCAAGAATATACCTTTCATGTCACCGAAATAGTGCGTGCATGCATTATATCCCTTGTTTGATTGTCCTGAAAGATTACTTAGAGCTGGCCAATCATTGATTGTTACGAACAACAATGCTCGCAGGTCAAAGTGCTCCTGCTTGTGCTCATCCCACACGCGTACACCTGGCTTGTTCCACAAAAGTAGAAGTTCTTCAACTAGTGGCCTCAGGTACACATCGATGTCGTTGCCAGGTTGCTTTGGGCCTTGGATGAGCACCGGCATCATAATAAACTTACGCTTCATGCATAACCAGGGAGGAAGGTTGTAGATACATAGAGTAACAGGCCAAGTGTTGTGACTACTGCTCTGCTCCTCGAAAGGATTCATACCATCCGTACTTAAAGCAAACCTTAAGTTTCTTGCGTCACTTGTAAACTCGGGGAATTCTCTATCGATTGCTCTCCACTGGGACCCATCAGCAGGGTGTCTCGACATATTGTCTACCTTACGGTCTTCTTTGTGCCATCGCAACAACTTTGCATGGTCTCTGTTTCTAAAAAGACGTTTCAAGCGTGGTATTATAGGAGCATACCACATAACCTTGGCAGGGATTTTCTTCTTGGGACATTCGCCCTCAACATCACTAGGGTCATCTCGTCTGATCTTATACCGCGACGCATGACATACAGGGCATGCATCCAACTTCTCGTACTCCATGCCACGGTAGAGGATGCAGTCATTAGGACATGCATGTATCTTCTGGATTTCTAATCCTAAAGGGCAGACTACCTGTTTTGCTTCGTACGTAGTGCTGGGCAATTCGTTATCCTTCGAAAGCATCTTCTTTTGGATTTTTAGTAACTCCGCGAATTCCTTGTCAGATACACCATTCTTTACCTTCCATTGCAGCAATTCTAATGTGGTACCTAATTTTTTCTGCCCCGCATCACAAGTTGGGTATAGCAATTTCTTGTGATCCTCTAGCGTGCGGTCAAACTTGATCTTCTCCTTTTCACTTTCGCATTCTCTTTGTGCGTCACGAATGGCCTGACCAAGATCGTCAGTGGGCCCCTCCTCTGCCCCTACCTCTTCTTTAGCGGGCTTCTCCTTTGCCCCCACCTCTTCTTCAGCGGGCTTCTCCTCTGCCCCCACCTCTTCTTCAGCTTCCCCCATTGCAGTATCATTGAAGGCACCATATTCAACAAAAATGTCATCATCGCCCCATTGTTCTTCTTCACTTTCTTCCATTACAACTCTGGTTTCTCCGTGCTTCGTCCAACAAATATAGTTTGGCATGAAACCCGACTTGAACAAGTGTGAATGAAGAGTCTTTGAGTTAGCATATTCCATAGTATTCTTACATACGGCACATGGGCAGCACATGAAACCATCGCGTTTGTTTGCCTCGGCCGCACGTAACAAAGAATGCACGCCGTCCATGAACGCTTGGGAGCGACGATCAGCATTGTACATCCAATGCCGACTCATCTGCATTATATGACATAAATACCGTATTAAAACCTAGAACGTAATTAGTTAATTATACAACATGCATAGCACCATCAAAGCTATAAATTTAAGAAAGCCTCGCTACAATGTAGATAATCCCAACTACCACTAAAAACACTAAAGCTAAAATACACTTCAGCAGCACAAGGATTTCGCGACCAATCCCAACTAAAACAGACAGATCCCCTGTTTGTTCAACATCTTTGGGCTTCTTCGGCTGGATCACTGCCTCATTAGCCGCCATATCTCATCACAGCAAGATATTTTTGCACGAGTTCAACATACTCTTCCTCCTAGTAGAAGCATGAACATCCAGTGCCATCCCACTGAAATTAAAACAGAAAATTAGAACTTTAATCACAACCATCATGAAAATAGGTATAAACTAAGCATAGTCATTAAATACGATAAAATAACTCACATTGCGATCCGGACACTTGTAGAAAATGCAACCCTTGTTGGGACCCTTCTTCTTCACTCGGTACTCCATCACAATCTTCGTCTCATCACAACACTTGCCGCATGCAATGAGTGGGAGGCCCGGCCTAAGTCGCTTTGGAAACCCATCGAGGCCGAGAGGACCCTAAGCATTGCCATCTACTCTCTATACTCATTTTTTAATACACTATAAATTTCTCATTTTATAAACAAATAAAATTAAAAAAACTCTAAAATTCTCTATATCTCTAAACAATAAAGTATGCTATGCATGCTACAAATGAACGGTGAATAATAGTTTTTAATAGCTACTTTAACCTTCCTTCATGTAAATATGCAAGCTTGAAGTGATTTTGAGCTCAAATGGCTTACAAATGAAAAAAAAACCATAATAAAGAACCATATATATATAGTGAACAAAATGAGATAAGACAATGGTGAAACATGAGAGTACGAAGTTGGTAACCTTTAGAATCGAAGAATCGACGGAGGAATCGAAGAAATCGAAGAATGGATGGAGAAAGAGCAAGAACACTGCTTAAATTTGAACTGAAGCTCTCGGGCGGGCTCGGGGAGAAAGAAGACGGCCAGCAGGATTTATAGGGTGGACCTTTAGTCTCGGTTGGTGGATCCAACCAAATCCAACCGGGACTAAAGGTCACTTTCCAGTCCCGGGCCACGCCACTAGTCGGGACAAAGAGCTTTACTCCCGGTTGAAGCCACCAACCGGGAGTAAAGGTCGACCTTTAGTCCCGGTTGGTGGCTCCAATCGGGACTAAAGGTCCCCTGCCACAACGGCCTGGCGCAGGAGCCATTGGGCAGGGACCTTTAGTCCCGGTTGGAGCCACCAACCGGAACTAAAGGTCTCTCTAGTCCCGGACGCAATATTTCCCAGGACTAGAGCCTGGTTTGACCCTTGGATTAAAGGTCTGTTCTCTACTAATGATCACTTGTTTCTAGCTACATTCATTTTTAACATGGCATGACTTCCTTCGAACGAATTAGAAAATAATATAGCGTGCCCAAATGGCTTCGAGCACTAGTACAGAAAATATTTGTACTGGCGGTATTTTTCATATTTCTAGGCCTCGTTTAGATTGCAAATTTTTGCAATCTGGACACTGTAGCACGTTTCGTTTATATTTGACAAACTTTGTCCGATCATGGACTAACTAGGCTCAAAAGATTCGTCTCGTGATTTACAACCAAACTGTACAATTAGTTATTTTTTTACCTACATTTAATGCTCTATGGATGCGTCCAAAAATTAATGTAACGGAGAAAGAGTGAAAAAACTTAAAATTTAGAGGTGATCTAAACAAGACCCTACTAACTTTACTGGCATCACCTAAGAATCGCCTGTGTAGATATTTACACTGCTGATTTTCTTAAGAAAGCCGTCATTATAAATTGATCTACAGTTTAATTTCTATTGGCGCCTATACATTATAAACCGCTAGTGATTTTGTACCAGTGGAGCCGGACCGTACATACACATTGTCACGTCCTTGTTGTACACCATAGACCGTTGAACCATTTGTTCCTCTCGCTATCTAGTTTCAATAAAAGCATTCCTACGACGTATTGTACATGTTTGTGTGTGTGTCTATATACACACACACACACACACATATATATATATATATATATATATATATATATATATATATATAGAGAGAGAGAGAGAGAGAGAGAGAGAGAGAGAGAGAGAGAGAGAGAGAGAGAGCTGTCGTTAAATTGTCATTCTCATTCACACTTGGCTTCGGTTTGAAAGGAAAAAGACACTACTACTGGGCCACCTCTACCCATACGCGCAAAGTTAAAAACCAAACAGTCCACATTTCATGCGGATTTATCGCTGTGGAAGATGGGAACCATACCATATCTACACCAGTTAATACGAACAGGGCAATGAGCCATACAGGGAGCAAGGGTACAAAACCAGTAGTAAAACCACACACATGAGCTGCCGCCTGCTGAACATTCCTCGGTGGTGACCCTACCAACAACCGGTAAAACCAGAGGGGGCCCCACGTCGTTGGAACCAACCGCCGGCACATGGGCCCCACATGGCAGCGGTGCCCCGTCGCGTTCGTGTCGTGCCCGGTCCCACCCCGACCCGAACCGCCTACTCCGGTCTGCCTACGAGGCGCTGACACGCGGGCCCCGCACTCCCCTTCTGGACTTCCTCCGAAGCCGCGTCGTCTCGTCGACTCGCCGGCCGCCTGCCTCCCCACCGGTCACCAGTGCACGGCACGGGCGCATTGACGCGCGGCCGCGCCAATGCCCGTGAGGCAAGGCGGGCCCACGTGAAAAGCGGCCGCGACGGCCCCACCCCTCTCGCCACTTGTTTACCCGCCCTCCTCTGCCTCTCTCCCACCGCCTGCTTTGCTTTGCTTGCGTTGCCGCCCTTCCCCGTCGTGCTCTCGTGGATTGGTCAACCCCCCCGCGAGCACCTCGCGCGCGTCACCGCCCCGCCCGCCCACACCACATGGCAGCGCCGCGGCCGTCGCCCGCGGCCTGCTAACAGCAACAGCAATAGCCGGTTGCCGCGGGGCGGTCCCGGCAGCCGCTGGCCATGGCGCTGCTGCTGCGATGGCTGCTCCTCCTGGCGGCAACGGCGGTTGCTGCGGCCGTGGCGAAGGCGCAGCCGCTGGCGTCGCGGACGGACCTGGCGGCGCTGTACAGCCTGCGCGCCTCGCTGGGGCTGCGCGCGCGGGACTGGCCGCTGAAGGCGGACCCCTGCGCGCGGTGGGCGGGCGTGGACTGCGCCGCGGGCCGCGTCGTGGGCGTCACCGTCGCGGGTCTCCGCCGCACGAGCCTGGCCACCGCCCAGGCCCCGGGGCTCGCGCTCGAGGGGCTGCGCAACCTCACCGCACTCGCTCGCTTCAACGCCTCCGGGTTCGCGCTCCCGGGGGAGATCCCGACCTGGTTCGGCGCCGGCCTGCCTGCGCCGCTCGCCGTGCTCGACCTCTCCTCCGCCGCCGTCAATGGCACGCTGCCGCCCGATCTCGGCGCCTCCGGGAACCTCACGGTCGTGCACCTGTCCGGGAACAGGCTCACGGGCAACATCCCGGCGCCGCTGCTCTCCGTCGCGGGACTCCGCGTGCTCGACCTCTCCCGCAACAACCTCACCGGAGCGCTGCCCAACGTCTCCGTCTCCGTCTCCCTCGGCGGCGCTGGCGACGCAGCCAACGCCTCCGTGTTTAACGTCTCCGGGAATTCTCTGTATGGTGTCGCCGCCGATGCCATTGGGGCGCTCAGGAGAAGGTTTCAGGTCGTCGACGTGTCCAGCAACTACTTGGATGGAGCTTGGAACGGGTCTGACACAAGATTGCTTGCCACGACGAATTGCTTCTACGGTGTGCCGGGTCAGCGCAGCCGCGCGGATTGTGAGGAGTTTTACAGGAAGCAAGGCGTCCAGCTTGTTGATCCTCCAGCGCCCTCGCCTGTGCCTTTGCCAGAGCCATCGCCTTCACCCTCACCAGAGAAGAAGAAGAAGCAGAGGATCTCCGAAAATGTACTCATCGGAGTCCTTGTAGCCGCCGGAACACTGATGGCTCTGTTTTTTATTGCACTGCTGCTCTGTTTGGTGAAGAGGAGAAGCAGAGGGACAACAGGAGGGAGGGGAGTGGAACTAAATGAGGAAGGGACGCGCTCTTCACGGAGGAGGGATAGCAGTGTCAGTCCGGTGATGTCATTGCCACCGGCAGTGTCTCCAGGTGCTGATGATGGACCCAAGAATGCACCTGCCATTTCTGGTGAGTTCACCTATGAGCAGCTTGTCCTTGCCACTGGCGGTTTTGGCGACGACAAATTCATCAAACACGGGCATTCGGGGGACATCTACCATGGTGTGTTGGAGAATGGCTCCCATGTCATTGTTAAGAAGGTTGGTGCAAAGGGTGCCAACAAACATGCGAGTGAATTGGATTTCTATACGAGGTACTCGCACGAAAGGATTGTCCCGTTACTCGCGCATTTGAGCAATGATGATGAGGAATTCCTGGCTTACAAGTACATGCCAAAGGGGGACTTGACCAATGCATTGCACAAGAAACCTGTAGACACTGCAGATGGCTTGCCCTCCCTGGATTGGATAACTAGACTGAAGATTGCAACTGGCGTGGCTGAGGCTATGTGCTTTCTTCATGATGAATGTAGCCCGCCCTTGGTTCACAGGTATGCACTTCCATGTGAATGTGATCCAGGCTTCTACTTGTTCCATTTGCTACTGTGATGATATGCTGTTGTTGCTTGGTGCACCTATCATTCAGAGTTTTAGTCCTTGATGTCCTAGTTTTATTTAGTCTCGTCACTTAGATCATAGTTCAGAAAACCATGGAAGGACCACATGCCTTCCTTTTCAGCAACTTGTTGGCGAATTAAGGTGCCAGTTACGCTGAAGACCACAAACGAGGTAATAATTATGTGAGAAGTATCTAATATGATGAGATCATTAATGATCTTTAGTACGGTCTCCACGCAGTCTTTTTTATGTATCACTTGCAAGGGCGAATAAAATGTCAGGCCTATAGATTGAATATGATCTCTCTCTATATTGGCTACAGGCAACACAAGTGTAAAATATGCATTTTGGTATGATTAGCCATTTCGTTGTAATTGGTTTTGTTGGGAAAAGTATTTCAGTACTAGTTTGTATGTCTTGAATTTCAGTACTAGTTTGTATGTCTTGAAATCATTATGAGTTTTTCTGGATCGGCATGAAGTTTCCTTTTTATTAAAGTCCACAGCAAGTATACCATGGCATGAAGTCTCTATCACAGAACTGCATTTGCATTTGACAGTTTAACTTTGTGTTATGCGGATGTCATCAATCATTCAACGAATCTTTATTTAATGTACTGTGACATAAGTGGAGGTAGTCACTTTTTGTTCCTCCTAACTGTTCGGTTTGATTAATTGTTTCTACCTTTATCACTTTGATTTGACTCGGCTATCCTGTCAGTAGGCGAGTTGAAATTTTCTTAGTTTACAATTACCTCCAATTTGACACATGGTACTCATTGCCTGGATTTTCCTTTATGTCAATGTGGACACTTGATTTTATTATGTTCTCATGTCTTTATTGTTTTGTAGACATATCCAATCAAGTAGTGTCCTTCTCGATGATAAATATGAAGTGCGACTTGGGAGTATGAGTGACATATGCATCCAGCAAAGTGGGGGAAGCCAGAATGTCTTCACTCGGATATTGAGATCGTCAAAGTAAGATTGCTAGTTGTTCCATCTGTCTTTTTTCCACATACTGCATCAAGAAGAACTATACTTAGTAAATATGTGATTTTGATGCTTTATATGTTAGGGCCTAAGGTGGTGTTAAATCAGGCACTAAATAATTATACTCCTAAAATGCAAGGCAAGACAAGTGACACCTTTGTCAATGAATCATGGAAAATTCTACATATAATCTAGAAATAGTTCTCTTAACCTATCAGTATAGTATGTTTTTGTAGATTCAGCTATATGTACTACGAATTTATGATTGTGATCTGTTTGCCCTATACTTGCTGTTTTTGTTTTAAGTTCAGTAGTTAAATTTTACATCAGCATATTTATACTTTAGATTGAATTCTGGAGGCATCTGAGCATGCATTTCTATCCCCAGTTAAGGACACACCTATATAGATTTAGTGATATTGCGGTGAATTTTAGTTTCTTTAGCTGTAGTTTGCTGATTATAGGTAACAACCTAATTTTCTGGCACCTATTGGTTTGTTTGTGGTGGTTGGTACTTATTAGTTCACTGCCTTCTGATTTTATTGTGTTTATAGTTGAGCAAACTCCAACTTTTTGTATGTCTGAAACCATTTTTTTGTTTTCCTCTGAAGTTGGTGACTGACGTTGGTATCTGACGCTTTCTTGTGGCAGGTCTCTCGACAAGCACACATCAGGTGCGTAAATCTTCCACATATGCTGCTGCAGTACCTTTAAGAATCCATGTTCAACTGAATCACCATTTCTGTTATAATAATAATAATATTGGGGAAAATTTTGTTCACGGATAGAAGTTCTAAATTTTTTTCTCCTTTATGACCTTTGCTAAATGACAGGTCCACCGGCCACTTGTTCCTACGACGTGCTCTGCTTCGGCAAGGTGCTGCTGGAGCTGGTGACCGGCAACATCGGCATCAGTGGTTCAAACGACGCGGCCTCGGAGGAATGGCTGTCGAACACGCTGAACCACATCAACAGCGGCGACCGGGCGAGCATCGCCGGCATCATAGACGCGCTGCTCCTGGTGGACGAGGACCACCTGGAGGAGGTGTGGGCGGTGGCCATCATCGCCAAGACGTGCCTGAGCGCCAAGCCATCACGTCGGCCCACGGCGCGCTACGTGCTGCGCGCCCTGGAGAGCCCGCTGCGCGTGGTGCGCCAGGGCTCGTCCCGGTCCAGCTCTGCGCGGCAGCAGCTCCGGAGCTCGTCGTCCCGCAGCTCGTGGCAGTCCGTGTTCCAGGGGAACCACCGGGTGCAGAGCCTGGACGCCGCGGCGGCGGCGACATCGGCATCGGCGTCGGCGCTTGACCGGCGGCACTCACTGCGGTCGCACGGTAGCGGAGGCGAGGCGTCGTCCTCGTTCAAGAGAGCTGTGCCGACGGACGCCGCGCCGGAGCCGGCGGCGGCTGTGCTCGACGAGGACGACGTTGTTGTGTAGTGTAGGAGGACATTCCCCGGTTCTTTAGCTTCTTTTACGAGAAGGGCGGCATTCTTGATTCTTTTCCCCACGCGTGATATCACGTGGTCGCTTGTGTGTGTATAATTTGTTCCTGATGCGTTCATACGTGTTCCAACATGACAAAAAGAAAAATTGTGCATAAAGAGCATGTTTGAATAACTTTTGAACTTCATTTTCAGCATGTCTTCCCTGATTTTCAAAGCGGAGAAACAAGGACAATTGGTCTGCTTTCAGAAAAAAAAAAATTGGGCCGCAGAACGCCAACGGATGGCAGCCCATCCTAAAAAAAATAAATGCAACTGGGCCATTGTAGCACAGATGGCGGCCCGGTATGGCCCAAAGTTGGCTCACAACACAGGGGCCGCCCGGACGGAAGGTCCACGGCCCACGGGGGAGAAGCGCGAAGCAGCGGCGGCGGCGGAGGCATGGCGGCGCGAAACCTCCTGCGGCGTGCGGCGGCGTGCGGCCACCGCTTCACCGTCCCCGTTCCCTCAGGCGCCCTTGCTGGTTCAGGAAGCCGGAGCATCGGCGTCGCCGCTCAGGTATGTCCATTCCCCTCCAAACCCCTACCGCTTGGTTTCCTGTGCTAACGCGAATCAAGCAAGCCCTGCTGACTTCCCCCGCCGCCGTCTTCTCCACCGTCGCTCTCCTCTCCGCCGGGTCCCCATCTCCTCCCTTCACCGCCCCAGAACCCCTCACGCCGGCGTTGCTGCGGCGGGGGTCTCCATGGCATCGGTACCCCCGATCCGCCTCACTCCATTCTACCGATCCATTTCCCCTTTTCCCGAAAATTTCCGCCCTTCTTTTTGAGACCCGAAACCTACCGAATTTTGGAGTAATTTGGTTTGTACTCTGTAGTGATGTAATGGGATGATTTAAAAGTAATTTCATTTGTAGTGATGCCGTGGGATGGTGTAGTTCCGAGAATGGGCGATTGAGTTTGTTTGTTCATGGGATGTGGGCACCTCGGCTAGGCTGATGCAACAAAGCGAATTCATTGTCTTTTGCAACAAATCAGAAGCTCAGATGATGAAATGAACATTGTTAACAACTGGACATGAACAGGTTGCCCACTTACCAAGTAATTACTAGTACTGTTTTGTTAGGTTCCTCATTTGTTTGTCGGCATGGTTTTAGTGTACTCTGCTAATTGAATGTGTGTGAAGGGGAAATTAAATGTAGTTATCTTGATCTGGGTAATTTGATTCTATCTGGATCTGAGCTTGAACACCAGGCTGCATTGCATCCTCGCTGTTGCAACTAGCATAGGGGCATGGGTCGTCTGCTCTTAGTTGAACACTTCCTGAAGGTTGAAGGGTGAAGTTGGGATTTTAAAATTCGCTGCCAGTTTAAGCGCACGGTTTTATTTAGCCGTCTCATTATCTACCATGATTACATATTGTTTTGTACTATATATATATATACTTGCTGCATTGGTGCATCCTGAAAATGCAGTATCCCCATATGTATAGGTGAGACAGAGCGGGGGGTGCTAGAGAATTAATGCTTGATCCTTTCGTGCATCTCTTTAAAACAAGTTTACTGTACACATGATTATAGATTTCTTAAAGCCTTAGATGAATCAAATCAGACAACCTATATCTCTCAATTAGCCCAAACTTAGTTTGCGTCGCTGGTTGAATGAGGAACACCAAATGACCTCACAAATACACCAATTTAGAATATAGAATAGAGGCGTCTTGCATTGCAAATATCACTAAATTGAACAATGGTAAAACAACCTCTTTTACTGCACGCTGTTATTAACTGTATGACCCCCCTGAGGAGGAGCGTCCAATGATCGAGCCGACCTTTTCCATTCATACAGATTGGAAAAACACATTAAGATTGAGATGTTTTCTTTCTCCAAACGGCTCAGATTGGACAAATCTGCAATTTCCTTTTTCCTTTTGGTTCTATCACCCTACATATAATTCAAAATTTTCCTTGATTTTTTCTGCACATATAAGGTGGAAATGCTTTCTCTGAACTAATTACAGAGTTTACACGCAGGGCCTTCGTCATTATGCAGCCCCATCCAGTGTGGAGGAAGCAGTGGGAAACTTGGAACTGCATGCACCCAAGGCAAACCGTCGGTCAAATATCCCAAAGAAAAATGGAACAACCATGATGCTCCCACTCCATTTCCATTATGAAGATGTACTACGTCAGGATCTGTTGCTCAAACAGAATCATGCCAATATCATGCAAGTTCCAGGGTTGTTTGAGATCAAACTAGCACCAAAAGTAGGCTCAGATCTCAAGATCCCAATTGGAAAAATGGCTATGGAGGTTTTGAGTGGTCAGAGATTCAAAGAGGCAAAAAGTGACCCTTTTGCTAAAGCAAGAAAGTCTTCTCGAACCAATCCATTTATCGGGGCTGACAAGGACAGTAGCACCGCCTTTGCGCAACCGACTGTTCTCCGAGGACATGCAATGTACAACTTTTTGGTGAGGATGCTGACAGTGATGTCCATGTTAGATTCCCGGGCTGAAATTCGGGAAAACACTATAAAGTTCTTCATGGAAACAGAGTTCTGTGAGTTCTCTCCAGAATTGGAAGACCATTTCGAGATCTTTGAGCACATCCGAGGTTTCAATGTGACTATCGTTACTTCAGCCGATACAAAGGATGAGACCTCACTACTGTGGAGTGGCTTCATGCTTAATGATGAGGGAGAGACTAAGTAAGGCAGCACTGCTGATCTTTGTTTCTGCTTCATCTCCCTGATATTTTACTTGCTGCCCTGCTTGAACTGAACCTTCAGTTGACTGTTTGGCAGGGGCTGAAGGCTGTTGATGCTGTCAAAATGATATTGGAGTTTTGGTGGTTCATGCTCAAGGAGTGCAATGCAGCATCCTTCTGTTTTGTAGACTGAATGAGATTACATGACTGTTTTTCATAGCGATGTGTGGAGCTCATGTTTGATAACTACATCTAGTACTATATATGAACACAATAATCTAGGCTCTAATAAGCATGGCTTTGCTTATTTCTGTGGTATCTGCTGTAGTAACATGGAATGCTAGTTTCTGTTTCCCTAAACCATTGCAAAAGAGGGCAATGAAACGGAGTTCCTCATCTTTACTAGTCCTGTGAACTTGATCTATTGATCTGGGGTCTTAAGTTCCATTTTGTTAGTCGATCTCTTGCTCCTGTAGGAACTTGGAAAGCTTGCATGGTTTTACCTTCTCGAAGACATTGTAAGAGGGCATATATGCCTGTGATGTGTGATCCTGATCATTTTTCTCACACCTGATGTCACATTGAATCTCTTTTGTTATTTTTATATTATGCTATATATATGAAGCGTATGGTCCGGTGTTCCAACATGTAGAAATTATTGAACAAATATTTATAAAACCTTTTTTTGACTGTTTTGAGGTGCTTTGAAAACCCTTTTGTTTCATAGGTGTTTTTTCTGTTAAATACACAGATTAGAGATTACGGCCCAAAACAATCGGGTCTTGTCTTCCATGACAAGTTGACAACTCATCATCCTTACGATTACAGCCCAAAACAATCGGGTCTCGTCTTTCATGACAAGTTGACAACCCGTCATCCTTATGATTACGGCCCAAAACAATCGGGTCTCGTCTTCCATGATAAGTTGACACTGCTATTGGATTTAACAAAGGTTTGATTATTCATTTACATATAATAATAAAAATTGGACACTTTACTTTGGTCCATTAATTAATCATGCAATATTTTGATAATAAAACCTGTTTATGACAAATATCAATACTATTTTCTATAAATCTAATTAAATCTAAATAAATTTTGACTAGGTTACATTATTCTTCATGGAACAGAAGTACGAAGGAGACTCAAAATTGAACGTTCAAATCTTAGGAGTTAGTGCTCTATGTTGAGCAATATAACTTAGTCGAAACATCATTATGTTTCATAAAAAATAAAGAATCATTCATATATGCAAGTATTATAAGGGGCAACCTATGGGATGAGGTTTTAGGTACCTTTGCAGGAGGGAGGAAGAATGAGGTGCCGTGCATTGTTGAAAAAAACTTTGGATATCTTCGTGCTTCACATGACTGGAGGTTTAACAAGTTTATGACTATCCCAATTTAGCATTTATTATGTTTTTAATAATATATATAAATATATAAGTTTGGTCAAATTCTGAATGGTTTGTCTTGGTATGATATTGGAATCATATATCTATATCTATACCTAATAATAATAAAGATAAAATTTCCGCCATTTTTTTGGTATCCATTTTTATGGCCTCCTCTAACTAACTCCGTGAATGTCAAAACTATTTCTGTTTGTCTCTCTACAACTCTCTCCTGTTTTATATACACTAGCAAAAGTGTTGGTGCGTTGCAACGGGAGAAAAAAATATTGTCAGATATTTATGGGAAACAAAGACATGAATACTATATAGTTATTTATGTTTTATTTCCCTATAAAATTTAATAATTTTTATTTTATGATGTCAAGAAACATATAATACTAAGTTGATAGTGGCAATAATATGTAAATGTCATATATTAAACCTATATCAAATTAAAATACCATATTTATAGATTGTATTGGTCTATTAAAGTGCTCAATATTTTAGTTGATGGTTTGATTAGCTAGACTATTGGCTGATCCAAGTTTTAAAAGAATAGATTTTGTTTCTAATAAAAACTAACCATCAATGTGCTTCTCTGGGAGGTCCTTGCGCATCCATGTGCTCCGCCATGGTCAAAGTGCTTAGCGCGCGCCGCCTGCCCGTTGCATGATCAAGCAGCGATTAGATGTCGCGGAGGAACGAGGAAGTTGAAGCCGTTGGTCTGCCCTGCCCCTATCTCTCCCGTGTCGACGTTGGCAATCACGATGGGGTCCTCGAACAGGTCCTAGAGACGGCGAAGGCATGGCAACTTTGTCCTTGCCAAAGAGCATGGCTGGTTGTCATAGCACGCACAGGCACCGGATGACCTCCTCCCTCGGGAGAGATTCCTCGGAGCAG